GGGCCCTCCATTCATTACGCGCTCAAATATTTAGCAACAGAACACCCCTGGTGTGAGAGGTTTTCCTCTCAATAATATCAGAGAAGGAGAAACAGCCGGCTGCTACCTCTTAAACTTTAGGACAAACTACCTGAGTCCCAAAAAGAAAAACATCATTTGAAGTCACAAACAACTAAAGGCATTTGGACCTAGAAAACAGGGACTGGTGTTTAGCCCTATCTTGTTTCCTCTTGAAATGTGGGTGTCCGGTTCTGGTAGAAGCATCTCAGGGAAGATGCCTGAGGGGAGGGGCGAGTGTTCTGTCACCGTGTTGGCGTTCAAACTTTTGTGGAAACTAATGGTGATCCTAATAAATAAACAAATGAATAAACCCATAATTGCAGGACCCCATTATGCTGCTATAAACAACAACAACCCAGGGTTTTGTGCACTCCCTCACTTTATCTAATTGCCTTCTTAATGCTCATCTGAAGATCCTGCCAAGACTAAAGATTATGCACATTCTGTCAATTTTTTTATGCTGTAGCAAGGTCTTTATTTCACGAGAATGGCTTAGGAGAACAGTGAAAATAAATAAATAGTGGCAATGATTTATTAGCATTGCTGAAAAATGTTGGTTGTAAATGTTTCTTTGTGCCTGGTAATTTTGTCAATTTAATTTCAAAAGACTGAAATGAGGCCAGTTTACAAGAAAATGTGAGGTATCAAATTAAAAGGAACCAAAGATGCTGGCATGCATTTTTTTTCCCAATCTTCCACCATTTTTATAGCCTGGGAAACCATCCTATATGTGTACATTAGTCTGGCCATGACCCACTGAAAGAATCCAGCCACTGTTGTCTTTCAAACTGTCTCCACATTCAATTGGACAGCACTAGGACCAATCAGAGCAACACGTAAGGTTATGTATTCATCTCTATGGCAATAAGTCAATGGGGCAGTCCGTTATACACTGTTGAAGAAGAAGAAGAAGAAGAAGCAAATATATCTTTTACATAAGAACTTAAAGTATCTTTCCGGACTTTTTCCCTTTCAGAAATTATGCATGATTCTTCAGAAATCCGTAAAAGTGAGCCTAGAAATCCAGACAGACTGTAGCAGAAGCAAAATGACTTTGTCCGCAGATGGGTCTTGCCACGCTCCAAAGGAGCCCTAGCAGACCCAACAGCCTTGTGTCTTGCCAAATACAGCACCCTATTGATTTGGTGGTCAGAATGTTACTGCGACTAAGCGGAACAACAACAGCTCATTTGAAATGGCTTTGGCATCAACTTTGGACTATTTAGATTTGGGCTTTTCTTTGAGTCAAGATCAGAGAGAAAAAGGATGTATTTGCTTCTTCTTCAACAGCGTGTGGCGGACTGCCCCATTGACTGAGGTCTGTAGCGATCAGTGTTGGGAGTAAAAGCGTTCAAGTGTAATGCATTACTAATGGCGTTATTTTTAGGTAATGAAGTCATCTAACTAATTAATTTTCCCATCATTGCAACACTATTACCATTACTGGGCATGTAAAGTGGTATGGTACTATAAGGTGGCTAAACTAAGCACAGCAATGCTGTCAGTTGCTGTGACAGCTACACTAGTGATGTGTTGGTTACACCCGAAACAACTCTCACAGTCGACTGCAGCCGACTTCTTCTTGGAGGAGCCAGAATGAGTGATATGGGACCCCCCCCGCCCCCCCCCCCCCCCCCCCCCCCCAACAACCTATCCCGAACCAGTGTTACAAATGGCAAAAATGAACATACAGCACTGAACACATCAGGGTGTTTGTCGGCAGAACGGAGGTACGTGTGCACGGCGTTGTGCGCACACGTACCTCCGATCACTATGAAAACAGGGTGGGGGTTGGTTCCCGCAAACGTCTAGGGCAATTATCGCCCATATTTACAGAATATGTGTGGGTTCTGCAAATAATGGTGGGGCAAAATCTGTAAAAGAGGAGGAAAGGAAAACAAGCAGCGCTTTAGAAAGGTGAGGACATTAGTAAAAACAGGACAGGCAAGATGATACCAAACTATGGCAAGCCGTTTTTACATTTAATTAAAAATCGGACCTCTGCAATTTCTGTTGTAAATAGCAGTAATTAAAATGTTCCTGGTACTAATTGTTTTCTCATTTGTCGAATGCAAATGAAGACGCCAAGAGCTATGTTGTTACTAAAAATATTAGAAGTAAAAAAAATCTATAATAACAACGGCACTAGTAGGAATTAAGCTTTGGATATCTCAAAATCCCTAAAAACCTGTGGTAACCTTTGAAACATTTATTAAGCAGACTGGATACGTATTCAATATATCTATAATTCTATTGTTCCTAGTAGAAATTAAAGGTGGAATGTAGAACATTTTAATAAAAAGCTATATTTGAAATAAACAATGCCCCCATGGGGCATTTAGAGGTGTGCAGAATGAATGTACAGTTTTTCCTTTAACTCATTAACTGCCAGTGACGACTAAAGCCGTCATTTGCATTTTTTACTGTGTGGGCATCGGAACGAGCCCCCGCACCGTGAGAACAAACATCCCAGCTCTAAAGCCGATCTTCATCTGCGTACGTCACACGTCAAGTGGTCAGGAAGCAGAAAATCCATGTGTTAGGAAATTGTTTTGGGCCGCTGCTGTAAAAAAAAAGTGAGGCGCAAACTGGAAAAGCTTCTGCCGATCACAATTCGACAACGGGTTATGAAATAATGGATCACGCTCAAAATGCGCAGATTCTTCCTGATGTAAAAGGAGTCTACTCTTTGTTTTGGTAGTTTTGGCTGTTGACATCATCCTAGCGTGTAACATTCTGTGACTCTTAAAAAACAGTAAAAAAGCAGAAAATCACTGGCAGCAAAAGGGCTTTTTTGATCAGGACACGGCTGGCAGTGAAGGAGTTAAAAGCTATATTTGAAACAATAATCAAAACTTATTTTTGTCAGCTCGACACTGGGTTTATATTTACATCTATCAGCCACTAGGGAGCACTGTTGCGCCAAAAAGTCCGCTCTGCAAGACGAGGTTGGGACTGTGTAAAATGGCGGACTTGACAAGTCAAGCAGCTGATTCTGGCTGGTCTCTTAATGTATCAGCAGTGAACCAACACACACACTATTTAGCTCAAAGCAATATGTGGCTTTTAACGAAGTAATTCAAGGGAATAGTTATTCTGCATTAATAACCAAAAATATTATGTTCTAGTATTATGTAAATAAACACCAAACTCCACATGTTAATAGAGCCTAAACAACAATCAATTAACCACTTGTAAGCAAGAATATGTTCCCCATTCTAAAGTCAGATTTTGTTCATACCTAATTACTAGTAGTTTAGTATTAATTAACCGCTTGAAGGCTAGAATATGTTGCCCTTGAATTACTTCGTTAAAAGCCATATATTGATTAGAGCTAATTAGTATGTGTGTTAATCAGCAACAAACCATTCACTGTCAGTAAACAAACCATTATGAATGGTTTATTTTAAAAAACTCTTAATGTATGGCCTGTTAATGTTAGAGTTACGGCATCAGTAATAAGCTGTTAATAAATGCTTAATAATGACTAGTCCAGACTTAAAAGTTCAAAAATATTTATATTAATTGGCAGCTTACTAATGGTTAATTTGTGTTCCCTAAACTAAAGTGTTACCACAGTCTAATCTTATAGATATTATAGAACGTAACTGTGTTATAGAACATAATGGTAATGTCACAGTTACTTTGCTAGGTAACTAATTACTTTCACAATGGGGCCACTGAGTTACTAACTCCATTGTTTCATGGAAAAAGCAAATTATAACCATAAGTAATTACTTTTTTAATGTAAGGTATCTACCACTAGCGATGAGTATAACACAATGTCTAAAAGTTTTCTGAGGCAACCATAGATTCCGTGCTACAGCTGAGCTCTTTCTATATGGGCCATGGACAGACTATACATTCATATGTATTGGATGGCTTTGCCTGGCTACAGTTCTTTTTTATTTTATCCAAAATTGATGACAAGGCTGTCTGAAACGAGCGCCGTTTCTGAGTTGACACCATCTTTGTTGTTTTTCTCCATCGTAACTCTGGTTCAAGGCCTGCCCAACAAACATAATGCGCTGTGATTGGCAAGACACAAAACGGACGAATGGCAGACCTGCTGAAGCTACAGTGGTGTGTGGCTAGACTAACCCGCAGAACAACGTCTTCCTCTACTGCCTTGTCTACGATTTCTACGCTGCCATTTTTAGGCTCTTTTTTAAGATTGGGAAAAATTAACTGCCTCTTCAGCTTTACTCTCTTAAATTAGATAAACTTCCACACCTGCAACATTAATTATTCCAAAAATCTGAAGCAATTACCCAGGAGTGCAAAGGTTCAGAAAAAACCAAGAAATCAGAAAACAGTTCACAGACATGTTCAACTGTCAATTAAGTGTGTTAGACTAACGAATGAAAAAGAGATTTAAATCAATCACACAGGAGTAGATATCTTCTAAATTTAACATAATTTAAAATCACATGATCTCCAACACTGTCTCAGAGGTACAGAGCTACAGAGAATAAACACAGTGGGTCACATCTAAGCTCTGTGCTGAATATTCTTACCTTCATTACTTTATAATGAACATCAAACACAGTCGAGCTCTGAAACCTAATCTTAGCTTTTCTGCAAATAAAGTCAAGGTGACTTAGTCACGTCTTCGTGCTGCCTCATCACACTCAACGGTGCTCAAACTTTGACAGAATGTGTGGATGTGATGCATTTCTCCGCTGCAGGGTGGAACCACATTGCACATCTGTGGCTTAAGGCTCTTTAAATCAACTTGCTGCAACATATTTGTGACACACTGGCTTAGTTGGGCCCTCCATCATTTGTGTTTACTGTTTACTGTCACCTTGTTTTCTTTTCCTGCTGTAGGACCAGAGGAATTATGCTTTCTAGTTTCTACTATTCATCTTTCATTAACTGTGACCTGTGACAACCTCCCATGTGTTTTGCGTACATATACACAGATAAACACTCCTAACCTGTTCTTTGACAGAGGCGAGGATGGCAGAGGTGGTTTCAGACTCGGAGCCATCCCCGATGGAGGCATTGAGGACGGGGCTCAACATGGCGACGGCGGCGCTGGCACTGTCAGACACCACCTCAGGTACTGGCATACCTCCTGAAAAACAGGAAAACATCCAACTCTTTTACTTTCATTAAAAACACTGAGATGCCAACGTTGAGGCTAAAACTTTCCCCTGCTTGAAAGTTTAACATAACTGTCATGGCATCAACTACAAGGATTGATCAGTTTCACATCAACGCAAAACGGGATGATTTCCAGTAGGCAGAACTTTTCGGCTTCGAGTCCCAGAGCACCAGATGATCTTTCATTCACACAGAGAAGAAATAAATCAGTGTCTGGTGCCGCGTGTCATTCCGCGTTCGACCAAATGGAGGAGGACACGAGCTCCACATGTGCCATGTAATCCTGATGCTGCACAGAGCTGCTGGAACAGCAGCATCAACCAGCTTTACATGCTGAGGAATCTGCACACACACACACAAACACACACACACACACACACATGCACAAGCACAAGCTGGCTGTCGGTTTGAGGCAGCGCGGGCCTCAAGCAGAGGTAAAGAAATTGGAGCGTGTGAGCAGAGTGGGGGGGCGGGGTAAGGGGGGTGATGGAAAACAGAGCCTGAGAGACTGCTAGGGAAGGTAGCAGAGAGATGGAGGTGAGATGAGGAGAAAGGAGGAGTGGAATGATTACGGAGGAGAAGAGAAAAGAAGAAAACAACTATTCTTGCATGCTGCTAGGCAACAATCTGATCATACGGCTGACCTGCTTCACATGTCTTCCATTCCTCCCCCTCTTCTCCATCCATCTATCCATCCATCCATCCTGCCTTTTATTCACCTCTTCCCACCGTTTCTCAACTTAAATTTTTCATCGCCATCCACCTTGTTACTTACACTTCATCCCTTTTTCTGCATCTTCCCTGCTTTAAAACTTGATGCCCTCCCTCTCCCTGTACTGCTTTTCTTCACTTGACCTGCTTCAGAGTTTTTTCTTCTAGGTGCATTTCTGCTTTATTAAGCAGCCTCTGATGGAGGGCGACAGAAAGAGGATGACCAGAAACGCTGGATTAGAACCTGCAACGCTACAGTGCACCTAAGCTCTTCCAGCATCCTTCCTCACTCTGAAAGTGCTGCACCACTCGTAAACACGCTGCTTATCTGGCCCTGTGACATCGTTGCTACAAGCTTCATATTTACCCTCCTCTCTCTCTCTCTCTCTCTCTCTCTCTCTCTCTCTCTCTCTCTCTCTCTCTCTCTCTCTCTCTCAGGTGTGTTGCAACTGTCAGCTCAGCTGGGTCAAAATTGCAAAATTATCATTTATTATTTTCTTTTTTGTTTTTCTCTGGACATCTCACACTACTCTCATTCTGATATTTTATTAACCTCTCTAATAAACAGAATTTCATGTCGAGATTTTATGATTATACATTTTTTGTTGGTCTTAAAGTGAAAACGAACATTTTGTTGAGATTGAGCAAATTTTTTTTGCAATAATTGTGAAATTAGTGTTTCTGAGCTAAAAGCATGAACATGTACTAATTACTAAACAGTGACCCATGTGGTCAAATTTGGTCATTACAGCTATAAAATACTCAAATAGCTTTTTTCTCTTGTATTTATTTTGGTCTATTGCTTTTTGTTTGTTTGTGTTTTGTTGTTTACAAATATTTTAGTTGCTAACCCTAACCCTAACAATACTGATCTGACTCCCCCTTCAACAGGGCTACATTTAAAGGGACTTTTCGGACTTTTGAATTTGTATGCTCGTGATTGCCCCCTCAGGCCAAAAGCGTAACGGCAGCTTCAATAGTAGGCTCGTGCACGAGGCGCGCATGCTGTACGTGCACACTCCTTAACGAAAATAACAGCTGAGACAGTCCTGTGTGTGTGTGTGTGTGTGTGTGGCCTGGAGGACAGAGGACAGGAGAACGCGCAGCTAATTAATTAAATAATTTGGTTCTGTACCTTTCTCTTCAGCACAGCCGACAAAGGTTTATGATGGGTCAGTCCTCCTGCATGCTCAGATCATTCCCTTCCCTTGCTTGAAAAATTGTTCCGAAATGAAAGTTGAACCCACATCTTTTTTATCTGTGAATTCAATGCCGTTCGGCGGGTCTCAAATAAAAATTTGGGCATCTTACTGTAAAAAAAAATATACCATTAATGTAAAAAAGAAACTTTAAATAAACTATGTTCACACCCTAGCCTGGCAAGCCAGACTAAATAAATGTATTATTTAGTCTGGCCACGCTCCATTGACAGCTCTCGGTTGTGGGGCGGGTTCTACCGTTGTCTTTCAAATGATCTCCGCATTCCACTGGACAATGAATGTGACATACTCTTGTTTCACTCTGTTGCATCATCCCACCCACCAGGCATATAGAGTGCCCTGATTGGCCCACAAAGCGGATAAAGCTCTGTGATTTGTTCACTAAGCAGATAGAGCACTATGATTGGCCCACCATTGTGGACCAATCACAGCTCTTTATGTGTTTGAAACCCCTCTAGAGAGCTGTGATTGGCTAGCCAGAGTCCTGGTAGGAGCTGCTGAGGTTCCAATGGAGCATGCCTAGACCATACTTTGCAAAGCAAGAATTTGGTCTAGTTCACTAGGCTATTCACACCCAGAATCAAACCCAGATCTTCTGCATGGGAGTCAGACATCTTACAAGGTGAGCTGCACTCTACTAACATTCATAGTATCTGTAACTTTTATGTCCTTGATGACAGCTGAAATAATGTCAAACCAAAGAACGGTTCGGAGCGGAAATGGCTATTATGTTGCTGATTTGCAGGAAATATCTAGAAGAAAGTAGCTAAGGGTCCTCAGAAATGTGGCTAGGTTCATCACTTGACGTTAGGAACAGCAACAAAGTCGCTGAGTTGGCACTACCTCTCTCTCTGCTGCTAAAGCTACTGATAGCAAATGCTACGGGCGATGCCTGAGCGTGAACGCGCATGAAGCAGCCTGCTCGACCCGAGCATCTCTCTTTTTCTGTGATCTTACAGAAAAACAGGCAATCACAGTAAAAATGCCAGGGCTCATTCTACAGGACCAGGGCATTGCAGGAGAATGTATGAAGAAGAAATTTATTATTTCTATACATGTTTTGGCTGTCAAACTTCCATAACGTCCCTTTAAAGATAAATAGAAATCATGTGATTTAAATCTGTGAATTATGTGAGATAACAAGCTTCTCTGAACACATAACTGCAAAATACCATGGTGCAAGCAGTAAAGAAAGACTTTTACTCTCATTGTTAAACCACAGGCCTGAGTTTGTGTAAAATATAAAGAATAGGTGCAATGCCCTCAGGAGAGGCTGTTTTGAGGACCTGGCATTTAATTTCTGGATCAGAGCAAACACCTGCTGCTGCTCGTCACATGGCATTATGAGATGATAACATTATCCGCTTTGCAACACATCACTGTTGATGTCTGCCGAAGTCTGTTTATTCATTTATGCACTGCATGTACTTAAATAGGCTTACTTACACAGCCATGATGTGCTTATCGTGTCTGCACAGGCTCTCACGCATCACCAGTATTATTATTATTATTATTATTGTTGTTGTTGTTGTTGTTGCTTACTGTGGTTTGCTTATTTATCCAGCTAATTCCTTCAAAATGATGGTCCAGAAAAATCTGATGCTGCACCACACGCTTTGGCCTTCAGGCCTAAACGTATGAAATATTCCCCTTGACAAAACATTCAAGCGTGCACTTGAAGAGGGAGCTGAATGGGAGCAGGAGAAGACGCCCAGCAGCCCGGATGGCCTACAGAACAATCCACGAGAAAGCTTGGGCTGGTTTTCAGCTGTGCAGACAGGGAAGTCGGCCAAATATAGGTCAGCTCAGCAGACCGTGTCCAAGTCCTCATCACACAACTGACCAGTACAAAGCAGCTTTCCCCAATAACAGCCACCAGAACTAGGTTATAAAGGCCCGCAGCCCAGCTACTGACAAGACTTTGAATATGGATTAAGCCTAAAGGCTTTATCTTTCTGAAATATAATCTTGGATTTTTATTTTTTTATGTTTTGGGGGGAAGGGGGGTTCGTATTTCAGCGTCATAATGCAGGGGTATTTAGCTCTGCCTTTCATCGTGGTAATCTCTGATATATCGCTGCTGCGTTGTCAAATGCAGCTGTAGCCACGATGTGACTGACGTGTCTGACAAGGGGAGTATTGAGCGTAAACGTTTGACCCTTTAAGCTCATCCATCAGGTCTGAGACAGGAACATTCAGGGGAAGACAGAATTCCTCACAGACCAGCAGAAAAACCCACAGCATGTGCTATTTCACTTATCGTTCTTATCAGTAATTATATTTCTGTGCTTCATCATCTGTCTGTGTATATGGAGCACTAAAGCATGCCAGCGTGAGAGTAAATTTGTGCGCCCCGTATGTGACAGTTTGATAGACAGTCCCATGTTGCCTCATTAAAACTCTCTGCAGTGTTTCGCCTCTACCAGTTATTTGTCTTTTTGTCTAGACCGAGCGTGCTAAAAGGAGAAAAAAACATTGACACTGTCTCTAACAATGTAATTAACTCTATCTGTGTCATAGTGTGTTTTTATTAACCCCCCGCTCTAGTAGGAGATTGTTCTGAAAGAGTTGTGGGATCTGTGCAGGATTTTTTTTACAACATGAGTTTGTAGATTATCCAGCTAATTAAAAACAAGCTTAATATTTTATAATTTACTGGTGAAGCTCAGTATTAATAATGTTATCATTGCATATTCAAACTGTGTTTGAAAAACAGAAATCTTTGCACAAAGAGATGCCTCGCTACGTCTTCCAGCGGCCTTAAAGTCTTCTTCTTTTATTTATTATCATTGGTATGTGATCATGACAACTGCTCAGTCCTCAGTAGGGTTGCAGTCCATGAGCGAGAAGCAGGAGACACCCTGGACAGGTAGGTCTCTTGTCCATCACAGGGACACAGACATCAACCAATCACATATACTCACATCCAAGGATGGTTTGGATTCTCCAAATAACCTAACTTGCACATTTTTGGCCTGTGGAAGATACCAGAGCACCTAGACACAACCCACAAATGCATGGGGAGAGCATGCTAACTCGT